TATTAAAAGTAAAAATTAGTAGATAGAATGTACCAAGCAGAATCAAATTGGGTATTAGGTGTTATTTTAAATGTTAATCTAATTAATTTAGGGAGAGGATAGAAAGGCATCATACTCTGATTAGTGATTTCAGGAGAAATTCCTTTTTTTTTTTTTTTCATTATAAGGAATGAGATAGAGGGATAATAAAGGATGGGCAAAAGATACAAATATAATGATTTAAATTAAGATGGATTGAATAAGATAGAATTATGAAGAGTGAAATGTGTGGAGAAGTTTATATAGAAGATACAGAATGGTAAATAAAATAAGTAATGATCTGTAAGATGAGCATGAATATAATTAATGCCCATATAAAGAGAGGTACCTGGGGCCAAGTTACTTTACTAAAAGATTTTTTATATGTATGTTTGTGTCTGTTTATGTCTTTGAGAGTATTGGTGAAACCTTGTAGAAACATAGAAAGAGAGTGATGATAATCAAGTCAGAAAGAAATAGATGAAATAATATAGAAATGTATTGTATAAGATAAGGTTTTATCTGACTTGTTAAATCTATAATGGAAAAAGGTTCAAATATGTAATGGTTGATGATGATTTGTTTGTTTTTTGAAATTAATAAAACTTGCTTTAAAAAAAAAAAAATCTTTTCCCTGGCCGCCTCCTCTGTTATCAACAAATGTATCCCACCACAGCAGAAGGCGTTGCTGGCGTCACGGCGGTACGATGTGCGATCTTGAGGCTCCAAGATCACAGCCGATATCTCCACTGTTGGACGGTCCCACCGGCCCTAAACCGTCCCGTAGAGACAGTGACAGAGAAGGGCACATCCTGTCGATCCCAGGGACACTGCAAAGTCCCTGGTAGATCCAGGAGAAGCCCTTTTTAACTAGCAGCGGAGAGGCAGCCATTTAAGCTGCTGAAGCTGGGACAGCTCTGGAACAGAAGAGATCTGGAAAGAAAGTCTGTCGGCTTGGTGAGATGAACTTCTAATTATTTTTTGGAGAGAACACCCTAAAAAGATTTAAAGTGAAATTAAAAGTGAAGACAAAAGAGGTTAAATGGCGAGATTAAGCTAAATTTATACTGAAGGTTTTTTTTTTCTTTTTATTAGAACTTGGAATTTGGTTAAAGCTTCACAATTATAAAATGGACTGGTCTTTTTCTCTGATTTTTTACTTTTTATATAATCTCTTTGAAAGTCTCTTTTGATTAGGACTCTTCTTTTTTTAGCTTTTTCATTTGAGGTTTACCTTTTTCTTTTTTTTCTAAAGACTTTACTTTTTTTTTAATCTATTCCTGGCTTTGGATTTATGAGGGGAAGTGAAAGTGAAGGGAAATAAGTAACACTGCCATCTGGAAGCTTGGATACATTGGTTTTTTTCTCTTTTTTTACTTGTTTATGCATTCGTGATACATTCAAGGACTCTGAGCCTTTTACTTAAAAGATAGTGGGATGAGCATAGTAGATTGTTTATACAGGTGCTCTTCTGTGAAACTATTGACAGCCAGAGTCTGGAGTTGAAGTTGAAAGAAAGAAGATTGAAGTGACCTTGAAAATAGAACTGTAAATTCTGATTTGATTTACCAAAGAGCCTTGGACATTTAAGTGGCAGTGATTTGCTCCTAGAATTGTTTGTTTTCCTTTTTTTACTTCCCCTCCAGATGGATTTTTATGTTTGAACTTTAGCCTTTTGATCCAGGAAATAGAATATATTTTTCTTCCTTTCCTTTTCTTTTGCTCTACCTTTTAAAATTTCTTTTTGTTTTAATTTTTTTCTATTTTTTCACCCTCTCTTCTTTTTATATAACCGGAACCAATTGGATTAAGGTATACAAGTGCCTGAAGATTCTTCCTTTTTCCCTTTTTCTGGCAGTTGTCTGCCCTTGTCTCTTATTCTTTCTTTTTTTATCAAGTATTACAAGATGAGTAGAAAAATAGCAACCTCAGCTTCTTCAATATCAACATCTTCCTCTTCACCATCTGGAGGACAACGATCAATACAGATGATGTTGCAACAGGAGAAGGAGAAGGAAGTGACACTGCAGATGATTATGCAAGGAATCCAAAATATACAAGCAAAAACAGATAACATTGAAAAGAGAACGGGGAATATTGAACAAAGAACAGAAAAGACAGATGAGAAAGTTGAGAATATCCAACAGATGATGATGAAATATGAGGACAGATTCAAGAAAATTGAAGAACAAGATGTACAAAGAGATAAGAAAATTGGAGATATCGATACTCGATTGAGTGAAGTTGAAAGAGACAGGAGCGGATCTTTGGGATGGGAAATAGACAGGTCAGAATTTTATCTGAGATTCCAAAACATAGAAGAAGAAAAGGGTGAAAACCTTGCTGAAATAATGACAGAAATCCTGGCAGAAGCACTAGAGTTAACGAAAGAGAAGATGATGGATGGAATAGACGAAGTGTTTCGTGTCTATACAAGATATGCAATGAGAAATAAATTACCAAGAGAAGTGCACATTAGATTTACAAAGAAAACTATTAAAACACAGATCCTCCAGGTGGCAAGAGAAAAAACACTAAAGTATAATGACAAAGAAATTGTGATACTGAAACAAGTACCGAGAAGAGAGAGAGAGATGAGAAGAGAATGATAGAGGAAATAAACTTAAAAGATGCATGGAGAGAGAGAAATGTGGAAAATAAACAATATACTTTTTATTCAAATAGACACGCATTATGGTCTATAATAGATATGATATGGTTGTCAGCAGAATTACTTGCTAATATATGAGAAATTGAAATAGAAACAAGCACTTGGGCAGATCACAATCCAATGATTGTTATGTGGAAAGGACAAAAGAGGAGATCTAGATGAACCTTAAATAATACAATAGTAAAGGAAAAAGACTTCAAACAGAAAATTGAGAGAGAATTGGTTTTATTTTTTAAATAAAATAAAAAAGAGGATACATCTTTACAGAATCTCTGGAACACAATGAAGGCCTACACAAGAGGTTTGATAATAGAATATACAAGAAAAAGAAATATAAAACAGAAAAAAAAAACTTTTAAAACACTGGAAGATGAAGATGACTGGAAAAAGAGTTACAGAAATTTCCACAAAAATTAGACATTAAAATTAAAATGGACATAACTAAACATAAAATGGGACTAATGGAAAAAGAGGAATCAACACAAAAAATTAAAAATGCTAAACAGAATTATTTCGAAGATGCAAACAAATCAGGCAGGTGGCTAGCTTATAAATTGAGAAAGGAAAGAGAATCAAGAAGGATAAACCAACTAACAGATGAATAAGGACATGTCTGCTATGGAAATGCGGAGAAGAAAAAAAATATACAAGATTATTATGGAAAATTGTATTATCAAGAGAATATTCAAGAAGAAAGAATTAAGCAATATTTACAGAAAGCGAATCTACCCCAGATACTCAGACATTGAAATAATGTTAGAAAGGAATATAACGATGATGGAACTAACAGAAGCTTTAAAAAAACAAAACACTGGAAAAGCACCAGGTCCAGATGGTTTGCCAGTGGAATTTTATAAGACATTTCAGGAAACACTGAATCTTCAATTACTAGAAGTTATAAATGAAGTTATGTCAAAGAAAAGAATACCCAAAACATGGTCAGAAACATACTGTAAGGCATCCAGAAAGTATCCATGATATCAATCACTCCGAGACATTTTCTCTCCAATTGATTTATTTAGAAACAGACATGGTATGTCTAAAGCAATTTCCCAAAGTGAAAACTTTTCGCGCGTTACACAGAATCCACCTTCTCTCCTTCCTTCTCTCCTCCCACTTCTACACTTCATAAATCACAAGAACCAATTAACTGCAACTGGAATTTCTTAATGCGACATACAGAATAACCTTGAACTTTCCAACTTCACCCCTCCCCCCTTCCATTCATGGCAGCTGAATCTCAGAGCTGACACCTGGTTCTTATTACCATATATGGTGGACATGTTTGGATGCAAAAAGATACTGGACTAAAATCCACACATGGTTGGAAAAAATGATAAAACAATACATAGACTTTAAACCAGAGATATTTTAATTGGGAATTATACCGGAAATATACAACAAAGAATTGAAATATTTGATTGTAAATGTTTTAACAGCGGCTAGAATTGTATTTGCTAAGAATTGGAAAAATGAAAAAATACCTATGCAGGAGGAAATTATTAAGAAAATTATGGACTGTGCTGAAATGAGTAAATGGACATTTGAAATTAGAGAACAAGAGGATAAACAATTTTATAAGATATGGGACTTATTTTACCAATGGCTAGATAAAAAGACATGGCAATGAAATAGACTAAGTTTCGTAATAGAAGATCAATAGATTGATATAGAATATAATATAAAATATAAAACCATTGGATTAATGTATAATATAAATTTATAATAAAATCTAGAATATCTCGTATAAAAGATGGAATAATAGTTTAGTCAAATGAATGATTAATAACTGATAAATATATAAGCATATACTAGATTGACAATTTTAGAACCTATATAACTTGTGAGAAAGGACTATGAAAGAACAGCACAAAAGATTTGTAACCACTGACACACTGTATGTGTATAATTGGAAGATGGTTTTATGTTTTTATTTTTTTGGGTATATGTTTGTCTTAAAAAAATAAAAATTAAAAAAATGTGTCCCACCACCACCACACACACACATTTGCTAATGTCAGGTTGTCTGCATTGGGAAAGCTTGCTTTGGGATCAGCAACCATAACACACATTTGGCCACTAAAGAATGTTCTGTTCTGTTCTGTTCTGTTCTGTACCTTTCTGGCCTGGTCTGGTCTAGTCCATGCCATGCCATGATACTCTCCTCTCCTCTTCTCCTACTTCTACTATTCTATACTTTGCCATGTTGCCCACAGAAACACTGTGTGTGTATATAGGCACATACATACATATACACAAACTAAAAAAAACTTATTTATGGTTTTAAGTATATAAGCCTTTTGTTTTTCAGGTTACTCCATGTGGTGATTCTTCCATCTCAGATTTCTTTCGACTTGAGCAATTGCAGAAAGAATTTAATTTTGTTTTTGATGAGGAATTCAATATGTCCAAAAGGTTTTGGCTTCTTGAGCTCAGAATGAACAAGGTAGCTGAATTTCAAAATTATAAATTTGTTCCTATACTGGAAAGAGAGATCAGTGAAAAAATTTTGCAGGTAAGAAATCATTCTAAAAACTGTAATTAGAATTTATTGACAATAAAACTTCCTGTCTTAGTTTCAGTTTATTTGAGATCACTGCAGCTTTAATTTAGCAACTTTAGAAAATCTGCGAAGAAAACTTATGATATTATTTTAATTTATGGCAAGGTGGTTTATGTGAGGACGTTGGTGGAAAGAAATTCTCCATGTCATAATTCTGAAATGCTTACTGAAGCAAAGCCACATATTTTGATCCCAAACCTTCCAAGCTTGGAATGAGCAAATTTTTGAATAAAACTCTTCCACAGCTAGACAGAACAGGACCTTCTAATGCACTGTTCTAAATAGTGTTGTGTTTTACTAAATGGTTTCATGCGTACTTTCAAAAAATGAAGGGGAAGATTAGGATATAAAAAGAAAATATTAAGTCTTTAACTTACCAAACCATTCAAATATTCCCATTTAATAGAAGATGTTAAAACTCTAGAACAGTGATGGCTAACCTTTTTGGCGCTGAGTGCCCAAAGTGCACACATGTGCATCCCAAAATGCAATCCCCTGTGCATGTGCACACATCCCAAGCATGCACCCCACCCTCCTGCGCACGCATGTGCATCCCCTGTGTATGTGTCCCATCCCCCATGCATGCATGTGCATCCCTGCACATGCATGGCAGAGACCCAAAGACCAGCTGTCTAGTGGGAGGCGTGGGCACATGTGCGGATGAGCTGAGTTGATGGCTCACATGCCCACAGAGAGGGCTCTGCGTGCCACTTCTGGCATATGTGCCATAGGTTCACCATCACGGCTCTAGAAAGAGTGCAGAGAAGAGCAACAAAGATGATTAGGGTACTGGAAAATAAAGTGTATGATGAACTGGTTGCAGGAACTGGGAATGTGAAGTCTAACAAAGAAAAGGACTAAGATTCATATGATAACAATGTTTCAGTACTTGAGGGGCTGTCACAAAGAAAGACCTATTTTCCAAAGCACCTGAGATAGGACAAGAATTAAGAAGTGAAAGATCATGAAAGAGAGATAGATCTAACAGCTTGCCTCCAGAAGTTGGTTGTGCTCCATCACTGGAGCTTTTCAAGAAGACATTGGACAATCATTTGTCCGAAATGGTATAGGATCTACAGCTCAAGCAGGGAGTAGAAGACCTCTAAGGTACCATCCAACTCTGTTATTCTACATTCTATGTTCATATGTTCTATGTTTATGGTTGAATGTATTGGATGGTCCCAATTAATAATAGTTATGGCTGAACCTGCGATATGAATTCAGGGATTATCTCCAATATTGGAGGCAAGTCCTTAATTCTCATTTTCAACCATTTTCAACCCAGAGCTCATGATGTCCTGAGGTTTTCTCCTTTTAAGGTACTGCAGAATGTCTAAAAAATTCATTTTCCTTGGCAGGGAAGGGGGATGGTGAGCTTGCTGCTTTTGGTTTTTCTTCTGATCTGACTTTCTTCTGATGGCTTTTTGATTCCTGCCAGCAGGAGAAAGCTGGAGGAGAAGAAAAGACAACACAACATGTGTTTTTGAAAGACAGAGGTCTAAAGGGCTTCTATTGATATAAGTCATGGTGGTGGCTCTTTTTCAGGATTATGAGAAAAGATTGCAGAAGAAGGATGGTATTGATACTAAGGACCGTTTGGATGCACACAGGGCAATTGTTGAAAAGTACATGGAAAAGGTAGGTTTTTCAATATACTTAATAAATATATACGCAAAGTATACTTGGAAAAATAACCCTAAATAATTGGAAGTACCATAACTGATGTTAATTTAATAAATAAATAAAAATAGCTGGAAATGTTTTGTGAATATCTCTGCAAAAGATGTGATACACTTTTATGAGTTGTAAGACAACAGGATGTTTTGAACTAAATATTTTAACTAAATAGTAAAAATAGATTTAATGTTAATAATACATAGAAATTTATAATAAAAATAACTAATATAAATATTTCCTGTAATTTATCTCTGCCACCTCATTGCTTATGTCATATTCTGATTTCTTAAGAAACCGGGGAAGTTAAAGGCCAAATTATAAAAAAAACATTTTCATCTTCAAGCATTTATATTTTGTTTTGTTTTGTTTTAATGCAAGCTATATGGGCTAAGAACAACAGTGTGGATTTCTCTCAGAGGACAAAATGAATAAGTCCATTAAGAAAAGACAAACTTTTGCAAGTTGGACAGATCTCTGCAACTTCTAAACATGCAAATTAATAGATTTTTTTTAACCTGCTACAAAAAGAGCCCAAGTGGGTAGACCTCGCTGGTTTGATTCGGATTGCCAGCGACTGAAAAAGAAATTGAAGGCAGCCATGAGGCTTGCCCAGAGGAACCCTATTGCCTATATACAAGCTAAGATGTTGCACACAAGAAGGGAATATAAAAAAACTATAACTTTAAAGAAAAAAAAGTTTTGCCATTTCAATCTGGTCAGAACTTGAGTTGGCTGCCAGAAGTCAGAACTCAGTAGTATTTTGGCATTCTGTAGCAGGTATCCTGAAGGAACAGAGATTTGTGTTTGACATACCAATCTCTGCTGAGGATTGGGAGAATTATTATCAGTGCTTGTTTGCCTCCACCGAAACGGTAAAGAAATTACTTTTAAACAGTGATTTAATAAACCCTAGAACTTCCCCCACTTGGCCACCAGTCTCAGAAAAGGAGATACAGTTCATCATTAAAAGTTTAAAGAGCTATAAAGCCCCAGGAGAGGATTTTCTACTAGCAGAACTATTTAAGAAATTTCCCAACTGGTGGGGCCCTGTATTAGCAGGCCTTTTTACTCACATAAATAACATCTGCCAAATACCAGATGGGTGAAAGATGGCAATAGTTGTCCCCATATATAAAAAAGGGAATAAAAAGGACCCTAGTAATTATAGGCCCATCAGCCTGATTGACATTGTAGCAAAAAATATATGCTAGGTACCTTTTGAACAGAATTGAAATCTGGGTAGAGGAAAACAACATCCTCACAGAAGAACAAGCAGGTTTTAGGCAAGGCAGATCTACTATTGATAACGGCTTTGTCTTGAATCATCTAATTGCCAAATATGCCTATAAGACAAGACCCCTGTTTGCTGCTTTCATAGACCTTACAGCAGCATTTGATATGGTAAATAGAGACGTACTATGGAGTAAACTGACATCTCTTAAAATAGAACCCAGACTCCTGGCTTTGATTAAAGCCCTTTACACAAGTACCTGTTTGAGGGTGCGGTATGGGGTTAACGGGGCCCTGACTAACAGGATTTGCACAAATAAAGGGATAAGGCAAGGGTGTATCCTGGCCCCATTATTGTTTAATTTATACATCAATGACTTGCCAGGGCTAATGAAGGATACCATGGTACACATGCCAATGATCTTAAATACTTACTGTAACAGCTTGCTTTATGCTGATGATATGCTTTTATACACACAAGTAGGATTACGTAGGCTATTAAGAAGATTTAGCTCTTATTTCTAGGATAACTCTCTAATCATTAGTAAATCTAAATAAAAAATAATGGTGTTTGGAAGAAACCATCAGAGACATAGGTGGCATTTGGATGGTGAACCAATTGAATAGGTTAATTCCTTTGTATATTTGGGTGTAACTTTTTCCAAGACTGGATCTTAGGCCTGCCATCATCAGTGAAGTACATTTAGAGCAAAAGCCCATTTGAATTTATTGCTCAAACTAAAAAACCATAGTTATCCAGGGTCCCTAGTCTCATTAATCAAGGTTTATAAGGCTAAGGTTACCACAATGCTCTTGTATGGAGCAGAAATTTGGGGTCTTTACTCAACCACAGTCTTAGAACAAACACAGTCCCAGCATTTGAGATGTATTTTGGGTGTAGACCCAAGAACATCTGCTGCAGCAGTTAGAGCTGAATTGGGAATTTATACAATTCAAGCATTATCTAAAATTGGAGCTTATAACTACTGGTGCAAAGTTAATGAAATGGAGACTGATAGACTACCCAAATTATGCCTACTAGAGCAAATAAAACTACAATCACAAATCTCCTGGATCATTAAATTAACAAATTTTGTAAGAAGCTGTGGTCTTCCTATCTCTTGTGTAACAGGAGAACAATCTAAAAAAAGAGTTGCCCAAAGAATTAAGGATATAGATGCACAAACTGATATAGCTATCCTTAGTAAGGTAGGTAACTTGAAATGGTTGAGTAAATACAAATGTACTTTCCAAGTAGATAGCTACTTGAATTTACAACTCCCAAAACTTCTTAGGAAGATATTCACGAGAGCGAGATTTGAACAGCTTGACACAATGGTTAGATACGGGAGATTTCATGCAATACCGTACAATGAGCGTCTCTGCATTTGCGGAGCGGCAGAGGTAGAGGACCTGGCTCACATCCTATTTGACTGTTGCCTGTATAAGAGGATGAGAGACAGGTATCTTGGTCTATATATCAGATGAATGACCCATTGGGATACCCATATCAAAATAAATTACCTTATGTCTGGCCAGAACTTGAAAATAACATTTAAAGTAGCACAGTATTTAAACAAAATGATTCGGTTGAGGGATTGATTGGGGTAGATTGCAAGGGCGACTCTGAAATATAATGTTATTATATTTTTAACTATATCTTAAATTATTGTACATTATTACAATTTTATTTTGGATTGTATTTTGGATTGTATTTTCATCTTAAATCATATTTTGTCTAGATTCCATTTTAAATTGTATTTTATTAAATTTCATTTTGAATTGCTTTTAAAATTTTTTAGTAACAATTTGTTGCTGGAACTTTGCACTTTGATATGGCCCAAGGGCTAATCAATAAAGACTTATTATTATTATTATTATTATTATTATTATTATTATTATTATTATTATTATTATTATTATTATTATTATTATTATTATTATTGTTGTTGTTGTTGTTGTTGTTGCTTTTTTTCCTTAAAAACTACATGTCTGGAATACTCTACCTGACTCTGTGGTTTTTTCCCCAAACCTCAAAAACTTTAACCTTAGACTGTCTACTATTGACCTCACCCCTTTCCTAAGAGGTCTGTAGGGGGCGTGCATAAGCGCACCAACGTGCCTACCATCCCTGTCCTATTGTTTCTTTTATTTTTCTTATATGTACCCATTTCATGTATTCATAGCTATGTTTATACTTATACCTATTATCTTGTAAGCGATTGACAAATCAAATAAATAAATAAAAATAAATAAAATAAAGTGGGAAGTAGGTATAAAAAGTTTGACTATCCCTGCTATAGACCATTTGCTTGATTGTTTTAGCCCAAAATTGGTCTTTAAGAAAAAGAACAGGTGCATTTGTTCATCTGAGCAGCACAACAATTGAGTAATTTCAGATTTCAGATAATTTTATTTTTCCTTTTTTTCAGGTTAGGGAGTCACTAATTAATCGTTTCCTGATCGCAAAACACCATTTTGTTCATTCTGACTTGGTCAATGAAGATGAAATCCTTACTGTTGGGTAAGGAAGAGAATACAAGGCTAGCTTAAAGTTGTAATAATATGTTTCAGATGTTTTTGTCTTACTTTGAAAGGTTTTAATTTAAATATTTTTAAAGTGCAATTGATGCCCTGAAAACCTTGCTTAATTTGTTTTAAAATGTAGCCATGCCCATTTCTAAGCAAACTTGTTTCTAGTTTTGTCTCAATTTAACGTTTAATGGAATAACATTTAATCTATCTTTCGTTGGCATTTTCAGTTACATTTTCTGAAAACATGGAGATAATTGGAGGTTGATAATGACAGTGTGAAATAGATTGTGTGGAAACAACATATTTCCACAACTATGCGGGACAAGGCATCTGGAAGTAGTTATGACAACATTTATTTTATAAGTGACATGAGGGTGTGTATGATGTCCCATGCAGAACCCATGATATCAGCTATCTCTGGAAGTAAAAGAAGGGCTAGGCCAGGAACTGAAGGAAGGCGGGCAGTTAACAACATTAAGGGCAGAAATGGAAACTCGCTAGAATACGAGACACATACCCCAAAAGAAGGAGCTCTTATGCCGGAGTGAAGCTGCCACAAAGAGATATACCATTGTTTATTACCAGTTCTGCAAGGTAGACCAGGTCATGTAGGACTACTTTTATTGTAAAGTTATAGCAACAGAATTCTTGCATCTTTGTGTGAAGCAAGAAGTTGCTTTTCTGAGACCTTTTTTCAAGTTTTATGGAAATGGACTCAAGCCCCATTTGTCTGATGATTGTCTTGATTTCTTAGTCTGATCTGCCTGGTAGGACAGGCAGAGTTTTAGTTAGACTTTTTTTGTCAGCACATTTCATTCCCTCAAAAACTTTGTCTGTTTCCCCATTTGGTTCCAACCCCTGCTTTTATTTCTTCTTTCTTTCCTTTCTAACCATTCAATCCATACCTATCTGAGAGTGAATTCCACTAAATATAGTGGGATTTTTGACCATATAGGACAGTTCTGTATATTTTCTATTTCCATGCAGACATTTCCAGTTCACTTTCATCTCTTGGTTCCCTTCTCAGTGAGGTGTTTGTGTGATGTAAATTAGTGTTGCTTGTTCAGATACTGCTGAGTTATGGTCTGGTTTCAGTCTGTTTGAATGGCTGGTTAGTTCGGATTGTTACCAGTCATGCAAGCAGACCAAACCAGACTATGACTCAGCAGTATCCAAACAAATCACACTAATTTAAATCACACAGCTGATACTGAAAACCAAAGATCATGCCTCACTAACAACAGCCAGCCAATCAAATAGTCCAAAGTCAGATCATGACTCAAAAGTAGGCAAACAAACAACATCCACACTCATTTGCATCACATAAAACATTATTTAAAGACCGGTGCTCTGACAGACGAGCACAATTCAAAGCACACTGATGATGTCTTCTCGAATGGTGACAAAATGTTTGCAACTATAAATTGCCAAGTTTGGAGCTCAGACCACCAGCCCAATTACCAACCCGAGATACTTATATTCAAATACGTTTCTTCTTAAAAATCTCAGTGTTGGAGCACCCACAACTTCTGAAGGGAAACCATTCTACTGATTAATTGTTCTCACTGTAAGGAAATTCCTTCTTAGTTCTAGGTTGGTTCTTTCCTTGATTAGTTTCCATCCATTCCTTCTTGTCTTGCCTTCAGGTGCTTTGGAAAATAGATTGACCTCCATCTTCTTTGTGGCAGCCCCTCAAATATTGGAACACTGCTATCATATCACCCCAGTCCTTTTTTTTTTCATTAGACTAGACATAACTCAATTTCTGCAACCATTCTCCATGTAGTGTTTGTCTGGAGTTACAGTGACACTGAAAAAGGAGGCTTGCAACCTGTCCATCCACTTTCAATCATTGTCATGTGGTCAGAATTTGGGTGCTTGGCAACTGGCATGTATTTACAATGGTTGCAGCATTCTAAAATCATGTGTTGGCCACCTGCAACCTCCCTAGCCAGTTTCTGACAAGCAAAGTCAAATCAGCAAGATTTGTTTTACAGCCACATTACTCACTTAACAATTGCAGCGATTTGCTTAACACCCATGGCAAAATCAGGCATGGCTTACTTAACAATTGTTTTGCCTAGCAGCAGAAGAAATTCTGGTCCCAATTATGGTTGTAAGACAAGGACTATCTATCAAAATGAAACAGAATCCTCTAAGAGCATCTGCTACTTCTGAAAAGTGCTTTGTTTAATTTGGTTATTCTGTTCTCCTTTAAACAAAGAACACTTGAATGTATGGAACAGGAGTGGGACAGAAGCCTTGTATGGTAGACATTGATTATCCAGACAGCTTCATGGATTCTGGGCTTTGTACATTCCCAAGTATCCTTTGCTAGCAATTTCAGGACTGAAGGAATGAACACATCTAAGAGCTTCTGACTCTCAAGCAATTGACGAGTTTCCTAGCTGTCAGATGGTGCTCCATTCAAAATCCAAGAAAGAAATACTCAGACTCCATTAATTAGATAAAAGATATCTTTTACTGGAAGTCAAGTGGTAGCAACAAAAGAATTCTGAATCTGAGAAAATGGGTGCGTAAATCACATATACAAAGTGATGGCAAAGTTCCCACCCCCAATAGTTCAATTGGCTCATCCAATTAAAAGTTGTGTATAGCATCATGTGGGCATCTCCAGGTGGTGATGAGGCCTCTGTCCGTTGACCTTGACATATTTCGATAAAGAGTTGTGGTTGCACATAGAATAGGATAGAAGCCTAAGCAAGAACCTTCCCCCCCAACTTATACAGTTCTATTTTGTAACACCACCAGCTTGCTTCCCATAACGATGTCCCCCTCCTCCCCCCGTTACTTATGACAGCCGAAAGATGCAAAGCAAAGGAAGAAAATCTTGAAGGCTGACACTAGCTCTTGCTCTAACTTCAACATCAAGATTGACCCAGTAGAATTTACAGGAGGTTGGGAAAGCAATCAACATCTGGCATTCTAGTATTAGAACATATACAGTTGTGCTCATAAGTTTACATACCCTGGCAGAATTTATGATTTCTTGGCCATTTTTCAAAGAATATGAATGATAACACAAAAACTTTTATTTCACTCATGGTTAGTGGTTGGCTGAAGCCATTTATTAACAACCAACTGTGTTTACTCTTTTTAAATCATAACTACCCAAATGACCCAGATCAAAAGTTTACATACCCTGGTGATTTTGGCCTGATAACATGCACACAGGTTGGCACAAAGAGGTTTGAATGACTATTAAAGGTAACCATCCTCACCTGTGATCTGTTGCTTGTAATTAGTGTGTGTGTATTTAAAAGGTCAATGAGATCCTGGACTCCTGATAGATCCTTGCATCTTTCATCCAGTGCTGCACTGACGATTCTGGCTTCTGAGTCATGGGGAAAGCAAAAGAATTGTCAAAGGATCTGCGGGAAAAGGTAGTTGAACTGTATAAAACAGGAAAGGGATATAAAAAGATATCCAAGGAATTGAGAATGCCAATTGGCAGTGTTCAAGCACTACTCAAGAAGTGGAAAATGAGGGGTTCTATTGAAACCAAACCACGGTCAGGTAGACCAACTAAAATTTCAGCCACAACTGCCAGGAAAATTGTTTGGGATGCAAAGAAAAACCCACAAATAACTTCAGGTGAAATACAGGACTCTTTGAAAACATGTGGTGTGGCTTTTTCAAGATGCACAATAAGGAGGTACTGGAAGAAAGATGGGCTGTATGGTTGAGTCGCCAGAAGAAAGCCATTACTATGCAAATGCCACAAAGCATCCTGCTTACAATATGTCAAACAGCACAGAGACAAGCCTCAAACCTTCTGCCACAAAGTCATTTGGAGTGATGAGAACAATAATTGAGTTTTTTGGCCACAACCATAAACACTACATTTGGAAAGGGGTCAACAAGGCCTATGATGAAAAGTACACCATTCCTACTGTGAAACACGGAGGTGGATCACTGATGTTTTGGGGATGTGTGAGCTACAAAGGCACAGGAAATTTGGTCAGAATTGATGGCAAAATGAATGCAATCAAAAGATACTGGAGGAAAATTTGCATTCATCAGCCCGGAAGCTGCTCATGGGACGTACTTGGACATTCCAACATGACAATGATCCTAAACACAAGGCCAAGTCGACCTGTCATTGGCTACAGCAGAATAAAGTGACGGTTCTGGAGTGGCCATCTCAGTCTCCTGACCGAGCCACTCTGGGAAGATCTCAAATGTGCAGTTCATGCAGGACAGACCAAGAATTTACAGGAACTGGAGGATTTTTGCCAGGAAGAATGGGCAGCTTTACCAACTGAGAAGATAAAGAGCCTCATCCACACATACCACAAAAGGCTTCAAGCTGTCATTGATGTTAAAAGGGGCAATTAAGAACAGGGGTATGTAAACTTTTAATCAGGGTCATTTGGGTAGTTTCTGTGGTCATTATGATTTAAATTGATTGATAATAAATGGCTTCATCCAACCACTAACCATGAGTGAAAGATAAGTTTTTGTGTTATAATTCATATTCTCTGAAAAATGGCCAAGAAATCATAAATTCTGCCAGGGTATGTAAACTTACAAGCACAACTGTACTTCCTGATTTTACTTGCTAAAAGAAAAATTGCCCATGGTGTTGAACTTTTCAATCTGAGAAATGTAACTGATAGTGAAATTTGACCTTATGTTTTGAGTTTTACAGATTTTTGTACGCTTTTTAGTCAATCTAGCTTATTTAATGAATGCTTTTTTGTTTATGCACCCAGTGAACTTCATTTCAATTTTGGTTTTTCTTTTTGTTCTGCTCTGCCTTCTGCTTAAGTTCTTCTGGCCCAGGGTATGTCAACTTGCATTCTCACTTCTATGTAGATGGTTCGTTTTGAGATCTATATCCAAACCAGTGTATTTTGTAGAATTATTATTGTTTAGAAATCATAGCTATTATACAATGTTAGCATGACAAATTATAGCAACAGAACCTTTATATTTTAGCTCTGCTTTTTTATTGATAGCTTTTTGAGTGTCAGCCTCTTTAAACTGGCCGAAGCAAAGCGACCCTTAAAACCAAGGCGAAAAGAGAGGAAGAAAGTAATGGCACAGAATCTCTCAGATGGTGACGTAAAACTCTTGGTTAATGTTGTTAGAGCGTTTGAGCTTCCTGTTAGAAAGTGTGCTGGGAGGTAAGCAACTTTTAATCCAGCTCTTAGTAATGTTCTTTACTAGATAGTATATTGGACATTGCTTTAGTCTGTATGCTAGTTAATCACAATCTTCGAGAGCAGTACTGGAGTATTTATTTTCCCCCCAATTTTTAATTATTAGCACTTTATTGTTACATAGCTATGTATCTTGCCTTCCAACACTTTAACTGTGCTTGTTCCATTCCTCCAGGCATATAATTCGAAAGTCCCTGAAAAGGTACTGAAAAATACTCTCTCGTGATGTGATGATGTGTAAGTAAACAAGAAGAGCTGCAGCCAAGGCAATGGGAGACCTCAGCCCAAAGCAGAAAAGAAGGCGGCACCCTTCCTAGTTCCCTGGAAAGTAAAGGCAAGGGTAGGAGCAGGGGGATGTGCTTCTAGATTTGCAAGATTCTGTTCTTATAATAGAGGTTATAATACTTTATAATAATTGTAATACCTTATATATATATATATATATACTGTTTTTCCCCAAACATAAGACCTATCCCAAAAATAAACCCTAGCCCAATTTCATGCCAAATATAAACCTTATCCCCAAAGTAAGCCCTACTCAAGAGCCTACACAGCCGCCCGGCCACACATTCTGTTTGGTTGCTACTGATACAAGGTGAGATGGTGGGGTGGAGGACGAAGCGAGGCAGTGGGGGGGGGGGGGGTGGAGGATGAAGCAAGGTGAGGCTTGCACAGCTGCCCCACCTGTCCTGCCTCAGTTTACTTGAGGGCCTCACAGCCAGGCCATCAAGCGCTGACAGCTGCTTTTTTGATCAATATCTGCACTGGGTTGCAGTGTCTCAGGATCATGTGATCACCCTTTGTGACCTTCTGACAAGCAAAAACAATGGGGAAGCCAGGTTCATTTAACAACTGCAGTGATTCACTTAATAACTGTGGCATGACAGGTCATAACGAACTTAACAAGTATCTCACATAGCAACAAAAATTTTGCGCTCAATTGTGGTCAAAAGTTGATGACTACCTGAACAGAAGTAGTGTTAATACTCATGGTTTTGATTTCTCATGTAGACTACCTCACAGGGCAGCTTTCATCCAGCTTGCAAGTCTGAAAGCATATCTCGCCCTTCCCCCACTCTTGTTTCTACTTTCCAGGAAACGAGGGAGGGTCCTTTCCAGGTTATTGTCAGGCCCCCATTCCTGCCGTATGCTGAGACCTCCCTTGTGCAACCATTGCCTTGACTGTGGCTTTTCCTGTATCTCGAGGTCATTTTCACAAACCATCATATATGAACACCCCGGGATTTTCCAAAACCTATTCTATATAGAATCAAAAACCTTTTATTAACTTTCTGATGATTATTAGATCAGCAGATGCTATAGGTTATCATCAATATTTGATTTTACGGTTCAGATTAGGAGCAGCTGAACACCCCCTTTTACAGACGAAAAAAGAGCAAATTTTGCGAAATAAGTGGAATGGTGGGGGGAGCGCAGGGGCTAACGTTTCCCAGTTATGGTTCCAGCCTGGCAAAGCAACCTTTTTCTTTTGTTCCAGGACCTATTGAGATAAGATAAAACATCTCTGAAGAATATTTAGTTTAATAGTTGGTTCTTGCCATCTTTATTTATTTCACTTGAAATATTTAAATGAAATTGTTAATATTATTTTAGTTTCATTATTAATTTTCTTTTTCATGATCACTGCTATTACAACTTACCTTTGTATTGTGATAACTTTAGTCAGTTGTTGGCTTTTTAATTTATTCACATTTACCACATTTAACTGTTACAGAGATCAGCAGTACAGTATGTAAATAGCGTAAATAAGATGTGTGGATGGGGGAAGTAAACCTGTACTTGTTCATGCTGAACCAAATTGTTTGGGGAGGTTGGGGGATGGGTGGGGTGGAGTCGTATATGTGCAAAGTGAAAAAAAATAGCAAAAACAAGAGGGAAGGGAAATAATTTATTAGTAGTATTGCTGTGCAAATGTCATCATCAGTTTTGAAACGATTGTACTTAAAATCTTTTTGTTTTATTTTTTAAAAATCCTATTGGAAGTTTATTGACATTTTCTACACCTTTTTGTAAAGCAAACTTCAGCAGCCATCTAAATCGTCATGGGCTTTCAATGAGATGTTTGTTGTTTCTGCAACTCCACACAGCTCCAACCACAGTATGGACTGGACATTTAGCCAGGTACCTTACAATGCTATGAACCTGGAGTAGATGAATGGATAAATAGTTGAATAATAGCAATATCCTTATTCTTTTTTTATGTATAGGGATCACCATTCCTATTCTTGAGGGGTTCATTCTGTAAAATTGATAAATATAGCTGCTAACACTCAAAAAAAGATTTAATGCTTCTTTATAGCTTGTTAAATAAAGTATTTTTGGTAAATTTTGAATCCGAAAGCTTTAAAGATGTTTTCCAGGAGATTTCCCTTTATAAATGAAGATATTTCCACTTAGCGTACTCATCTTGTTATCCATAGTCATTTTATCCATGTTATTTGATTTGATTTGGAAGGAAATGAATTTTAGAAAATTTAAACACTAAAAGTAAAGAATTTTTTTTAAAATCTTTGGTGTTTAGATAACTTTTATTAATGTTAAGTGTTAGAAGCACGGAATGTTAGAAACAGTATTGAATAGGCAATCAAACAATAACATATTATACTATTTTGAAACAGCCAAATTTACATGAAATAGAAAATTTTGACCCTGGAAATTTTTTCCAGAAAGTGTCCATATCTATGACTGTAAAAGTACCTATTTATATATTTATTTTAATGGATGTTTACAATGGAGGTATCTACAGTTACTGGAGGTATCTACAGTTTCTAGTTTCAGTTGGAAAATGTAGTTTGATGTATCTTAGCTTTGCATCTCATCTAACATATCAAAGCTTTGAGCTCTGTTTAATTGTAGGTTTCAGTTCGGCCCTTTGTAGAAGTTTCTTTCCAGCGAACAGTTTGTCGGACGACCACCGCAGAAGGGTCAAACCCAAACTGGAGTGAAGAGCTGGAACTTCCGTTTAGGTGTGAATGGATCCCATAAAACCTTCTTTCCATTGGAGAAGAACTACATTGGGTGGGACAAAAAGGCCAGAATCAAATCGTGCATTTGGACACAACTGAGGATTTTCTTTCTTTCTTTCTTTCTTTCTTTCTTTCTTTCTTTCTTTCTTT